CAGAACCAGCATTAACTCTTTCAGCAGTTTGAGCTACAGTAGCCCCTCTTTTGGATCGGACCACACAGACCAGCCTTCACTCCCTACATGCATTAATGAGCCTTGGACCCCCATGACCCTGTCTCCAGTTACCCACTTTTCCTTCCTTGGAGCACTTTTGATAGATACTGACCTCTGCAGACCGGGAACACCCCACAAGAGCTGCAGGTTTGGAGATGCTCTGACCCAGTCGTAAATATTCACTTGCTGCCTAATATATACCACCCACTGACAGGTTGTTGTAGTGTTATTCACTTCACCTGTCAGTGCTCAGAATGTTATGGCTGATCGGTGTATAAACCTCATGTCAGTCCATGCTGTTTACTTTGATAGTCAAAAGGGCCTCATACAAGCTGGTGTGACAGTCCAGAGGCATCAAAAGTACACACAAGGCTGGTCATGTGAGGTCCACGTGTTGCTTAAAGTGTACTGGCTGGCACATAGCTTATCATACAGTGTGGTGTCCCAGGCCTCTCGTGTTCTTAAGTCTACAGTGCTGCAGTCTTTCTGCACACATTCATATCCCATTAATGCATGTTACTAATCTCCGGAGTTCTTGTGCTTTCTCACTCGCAGGTTTCTCATGGATCCTGGTGGAGCCTCCTGCCATGTTCCTGCTTGACCAGAACAACTTACAGTTCAAGCGAGGAGCGAGGAAAAGTCAAATGAGCAATTTGGGATGTAGCCAATATATACTCTAAGTGAGGGGGAAACTAATGAGACACAGGTGAACACAATCAAGGTGGGGCAAACAATCAAAAACAGTGGGACAGAGACAGGAAGTAAAGCAACACAAGACACATGAGGAGGAAAACTACAAACTAAAACAAGAAGTAACACATGAAAAACTGACTACACAATAAAACACTAGTGTTTCTGACAGACCATATGTTGTTAACATGACCCAAATATGTAATACTGTCATATTCAGAATAATAAAATAAAAACATAGTCACTGTTACCTGCTGGTCTCTGAGTTGCTCCACTGGAGATATTGGGGGTTTGGGTCTTGCTCAAGAGCATCTTTGTGGTGGTTATAATGGTGCCTCTCTATCACTTACCTAGCAAGATTTATCTCCCCTTCCGGGGATCAAAAACCATGACCCCTTGTGTCACAAACCTTTCCAGTATTTAACCAAAAGCACCATATTTCCTAAAATGTTAACCAAGTGCTTTGAATAACCTAAACATAGGCTTTTTAACCTTATGTTGTTGTTAGAAGAATATAACTGTACAGCAAAACAACATGTGTTTACTCTTGCAAATTAGTTGTAGGCTCATTTTATAGAAAAGGGTTTAACTGGTAAACTCTTCATCTAAATATAAACAGAAGCACAGCTGCTACAGTTCTACATATATTACAATATTAAGGTTTAATGAGGAGCTGCATTACATATATTTACATTTAAAAAAGAACAGTAACAAACAGCACTGCAATAATAATGAAACATATTGCTGTTATCTCATTTAAATGATTAAAAAAGACATCCTCTATTTTCTTGCATTATGCTCCAGCTTACAGCCTTTAGACACTGTCATTTATCTCAGAACTGTGAAAAAGGGGGATTCATTTGTGCTTAAAGAGTGTATGAAACTCCCTTCGGGGCCCAGACATTACTCTAAGGCAAATAAAAACAGTTGGGAGAGCATTTCGTTTGTCCTTTGGAAATTGCCAAATCAATACCTGTCTATGCGCATCAAATCCATCTTCTCCTCTGCAGCTGCAGTGATGGAAAATAGATTTTG